CTCAGGGGGTCCGCAGGAAGGCAGCTGGACGCTCCTGTGCCTCAGCAGCCAGTTGTTTGGGTGTAGCTGTAGAAAAACACGGTTGCGGTTACTTGTTTGTGAAGTAGGAGGTGAAAACATCCAGAATCCTTTCTCTTGCAGATTTATAACGAGCACAGCCTGTGCTTTGTCAGAACCCTGTTCAGAGTCTCCATGTTGTCCCGTCCAGATGAAACTGATCTGAGAAGAAGCTGGGGGCATTCTGTTTGGGCTGTGCACTTCCAGTAAGCTTTTGGCTCTGAAAAAGGCAGACGTGTACCCTTCAAGAACCAGAGAGGTACAGACTAAATGGATCTAAAGACAGCAGTGTTCAATGCAGCTCGTGATGGCAAGCTGCGGCTTCTTTCCAAGTTATTGGCAAGCAAAACAAGAGAAGAGGTAGCCCTGCTGATGTCAGAGAAAACCAATGGTGCCACACCACTTCTGATGGCAGCCCGTTACGGTCACCTTGACATGGTGGAATACTTGTTGGACCATTGCTCTGCATCAATAGAAGTTGGTGGTTCGGTGAATTTTGACGGTGAAACCATTGAGGGGGCCCCGCCGTTATGGGCAGCATCGGCGGGGGGGGCCCCTGAAGTGTCTGTTAGATCATGGTGCATCTGTCAACAATACAACTCTGACAAATTCAACACCGCTTAGAGCTGCCTGTTTCGATGGTCACCTGGAAATAGTAAAATATCTTGTGGAGCACAAAGCAGACCTGGAAGTATCAAACCGTCATGGGCATACATGCTTGATGATCTCATGTTACAAAGGCCACAAAGAAATTGCTCAGTATTTACTTGAAAAAGGAGCTGATGTTAACAGAAAAAGTGTTAAAGGTAAGTTAATTTTTTCACTTTCCTTGTGGTAAGTAGGAGTAAAGTTTACCCTTCTTTGGGAGGCTGACATCCAGAAATACTCTTCTAGTCCCTTAAAGTGGATAAGCAAGAGGTAAAGTGTATTTAGCTATGTTTTTACTGTTTGTTTTTTTTTTTCAACTTACTCCTTTGTTAACATGGGTTGTATAATTTCGTTCTAAATTGATACATTTTAATCTTAAACCCCTAATTCTTAGAAAGAGTTAGTCATATGAAATGCCACATTTATGCATGTGCGAAAAGCTAATCAACTTGCTGAGAACTCCTCTTTGTAGTAGACTGGTGTAGCAACATACTCAAATATATGAGCATATATTCTTGTTTCTCATACTGGTTCTTAACAAACCAAATATGCTGTACATAAAACTGACCTGTGCCAATAAGGCTAGTACAAGGAAAGATGTGTAAAGGAGAAAAATTCTTTTCTGCAATGGAAATGAATAGTCCTTTTGCTCTTCACCTTCCTCTCCCTCCAAATTCTTGAATAGTTTTGGACCTTTTTTCAGTGTTAGTAAACAAAAACTTACATTAGGGTTAAAGAAATGAAGCTGCAGGTGACTGATCCCAACAGAAGGACTTCCAGTGGTGCACAGGTTGTGAAGGACATCTCATTGCCCCTGCTTACAGTTACCCTGGTGTTACCGTTCAAAGTGAAGATTTCTGTTGTTTTTGCTGTGATTGTAATTATGTGGATGTCTTGGTTTAACCACTGGGGTTTTTATTACATCTCAAACTTGTACGTGGGTGTGATATTTGCCTGAAAAGCATACCAATTATTTCAGGTTACGGTTAATTTTTAGCTCACTGAGCCAGGACTGTGTTTCAGCAGCTTATTTGAGAGAGATATATGTATTACTAATCTGATAATAAGCCTTTTGTAGCATAATACTTCCACTGCCTGTTTCTGGCTGATTACATTTGTAAGAGTATACTATACTTCACAGTTATTTCTGTTACTTTGTGTCTAGATTATTGTGCGATACTGGTAAATGCCAAATACAAGCCTGATCTTTGGAAAAGCAGTTCAGTTAAATATGCCTTTTTTCAGCAAATCATGCAGATATGTGGGTTTAATGTAAAGAAAGCTAAACTACAGATTTGTCATAGAGGTGGGCAGAGCAAAATAAATCTTCCTTTGTAAGGATTTAAGGTTGCTTATGAATCATCATGGACTTGTGATAGGATAAAAATGTCATTTTTCTAGTCAGGGTTCTTGGAATAACAAGCTACATACAAAGTGTGTATTGTTTTTTTAGTTTTAAACCAATCCCTTTAGGGTATGAACAGAGGTATGAACAGAGCAGCACTGTTAAATATCTGATGTAACAAAGATAAATCTCTGCAGCTCTTTTTCCCCCCTCATTTTGTGTTGGTGGAGTAAGCTTTATTTTACTGGTCCTTATTATTCACTTTACTAGTGCATTGGTGTTATTTGTCTTTGGGTAAATGACTTGAGTGGTAGCCACACAATCCTGAGGATTTTCTCAGTGCTCTCAGTTTCTCTGTTATCTTAATTTCTTCCTCTCTCTCCTTCCTTCAGTTTCTGTGTGACTTGCAACTAGGCACAGGAGCAAAGGTTCATAAGGTATAACTGTTCCTTACTTAAATTAAATTTTAAAAAAAAGTTGGGTTGGATATGTTTTAGCTCATGAAAATTAATTTTATACTTTGAACTGCCATGTGTACAAATAGATGTATGTGCGTAATATCTATTGGTCAAGTATGCGGAAGATGTTTTTGTAGGTGGAAATCCCCTCTGATATGACAAGTGCATGCTTCTTCGTTTTGGCATCTTAAAGCAGCCTGATCTCAGAAGTCACTTAATAAGCAGCAGTGAGGTAAAGAAAGAGAGAAAGAAAGAAAGTACTGTGAACTCTGAAAGTGAAAGTCAGCTCTGGAAAGGCAGAAGAACTGAGCAAAACTGGCAGCCCTAGGTATTGCAGCAGAATGGGTATTGCCGTGGCGGAGGCTCAACAGCTAACCTGCTGAA